TCTTTGGAGCAAAGCTTTATATACAGAATCAATAGCTTTATCTGTTTTTTAAAAAAGATATTGGCATATGCACATAACACTGCTACCACATTAGCTGGGGGGCGGGAGTGGAGGGGATGAATGTTCACACAAACCAGAAAATAGTTGAGGATGGAGACACTATATTATATTATTTTTGCAACTAATGGGTAAAGCTGGGTTAAGAGTAAAGCCTTTGGTCAAGAGAAAGCAATGTTAATGATGATCTACAGCAAGATTATATAGAAGTAATTGTTTATGCAGACTGACCTAGCCAGTCACAGATAATTGAATAAATTTATTTATATATTATATATCTATAATATATCTATAATATATAGCCAAATAAATATTTAAGTGCAATAAAATTTTACCATATATTCATATAAGTGAGACCTTGATTTCACATTTGCTAGATAATACAGTGTAAAATGCACCTTAGTTCAAAGAGATTCGTTTGTAATCCTGACACTGCTATTAGTTATATGGTTTTATTTATATGGTAAATTGTGATTGAGTACAAGTACTTTGTCTTGAGCACTGTTAACTAAGAAATTTGAACTAAATAGTATTAATATAATTGTGCATTTAATCAATGCCAAATTTAGCCTTGTTAAACACTCCACATGCATTATCTCTTTTTAATTCTTAAAACAACTGGTATCAGTAGATACCTTAATTACCCCCTTTTATTGTTGAACAAACTGAGGGTTATGGAGCTGAATTTCCTTACCTAATGCCACCCTGCTAATATTAAGGCACAGGCATTCTGACTGCCAACCTCAAACTCTTAACCATTATACTATATTGGCTTAAGGAGCTCATTATTTCAGACATGCTGCCACTTTAACAATTTTTGTCTTCCATGAGAATTTTTGTGGCTACTATCCTAGTTAGGCAGACAAAAGAAAAAAAGTTTCTGATGAAACAAGTTAGCAAGTCCCTCTAGGCTCATATTAATGAGTCACATCAGGTGAAACTTTTACCTAGGTAGCATAGGTGGCTGCAACTGAGATTTGATCCTCTATCTGGCAAAATATTACATAATTTAAATATGTCTTGAAGAGACCTTTTAAAGGTGAGTTATTCACCAAGAGAACATAATTTTTTTTCCTCTTAGTATTCCTCCTTTAGCAAACTGTCACACTCAACTTCACCATTCCTCCAAAACATGAAACTAAGCCCTTTTGAGCAATTTCAAACATTTCCACAAATGAATAGACACAGCAATGTGTCATGAAATCTTGCCAATTTACAATACCTACATTTTTCTCACAATAATATATTTCTTTATTTAAAAGCTATTTTATTGCTTCTTTACAATTTTCAACATGCATTTCTCTTCCCATTATAAAAAGCAGTAATGTGAGGAGAAAGGTGTCAGCTGAAGCACAGACTGCAAGGGTTCCAGTTTCTAGTGAACACATAACAGACCATACTGATCACAATTTTGTAAGGGGAAAATCCTTTGTAAAATTATTTTTTGCATGTGTTTAAATATTATTCACAATGGAAAAATCTTTTCTATAGAAATGCTTTAAAATAATATGGCTGGCTCTTACTGTGCAAATGCTTTTTTTTTTTTTTTTAAAGCCTTTTATAAGAATATATACTCTTCATCGTTTTCCATTTCAGTTCTGTCTTGGTAAAAATGAGCAAAATAGAATATTCAGTATAATTTTAACATTCACATTAGCACGAGAACAATAGCAAGTGGCTTTGAACTGCTTCTCCATCTGGCATTTCAGTTACTGTTTAGATTAATAGGTACAATAGGAATTGAAATTTTCTGGGCCAGAGTTTAATGGGGCTCAGCACTGCTCCTTTCTGAAAGGGCCCATCCACCTGTGGACAAAGCCTTCTGTCTGTTTCCACAGCCCTGACTAAAGTGACTGATGAGATGTGAGTCTGTTTCAAGTTGCAAAAGGGAAGGACTTACATTCCAGTTAACTACGCTGTCTCCTCCTAATACGAATTATGCCAGCTGAGATAATCAATAACTTATCAGGCTGCTGAGAGCCCATTAGCATGTGGTTAAAATGCTAGTGTTCACGGCAGTATTCTTCAATGTGGGAAGTGGCCCTTTGGTATAACACACTTCAATAGTTTAAGCTCAATAATAATAATTCTTGTTTAACAAGATATTAGATTGACTCTTATAAATTAGAAGATTGTTTTCATGATCTGTGTAATCTACTATATTAATAAAAATAGAACTGAAGGCTCTTGGCACAATTCATTTCTCACTTCTACTTACAAGTGGGCTCTGAATATAAGGGATCAGGCTTACCCAATTAATCACCACACTGAACAACATGTCTACCTGAAGAGAATGTAAAACCACTGCTTTTAGAAAGTGTGATTTAAACCATAGGGCTAAATTAAAGAGCTTTGAAAATGCAGAGATGCTTGTCCAGTAACAGCAAAACACTATTACGTGTTTTCCTTTATTTTTGGAAAGTTTTTCCAGAAAAATAATCATTTGGAAGAGGATGGAAACTTATTGCTGTCACATTATAACATGAAAAAGAAAATGGCAGGAATAAACAAAAACAGTCCAGTTGGAAATGTTTAAGATCCAAAGTTTTTCATTTGCATCCTTTAAGTGACAAAGACAAGGTTTTGCATCTGGTGTCTGTATACTAACTGAATTTTTCTCTGTCTACTCCTTAAATGCACTTCTGAATTTGCAGCCTTAAGAAATAACAGCTAAGTGAATGAGCAGGATGCGATATTTCATGTATTATTCCCACTTTGGGATTGTCATATTGCATCTGTGGGATTAAATGTTTTAAGAAGTTGTCAAATTTAATTGGCGAGTTTGCACAGTTCTGGTTTACTGGATACATCATACACTAACATCTTCTTCTTTTATCACTTTATGTTAACTCCATGATTTAAATATTGCCATCTGTGAACAAAGCCTACGGAATTAAGAAAACAGCTTTAGTAAATTAAAATCTTAACTGATGCATAATTTGCAGATTTTAACATTGTTTATATGATGTTTGGTGTATTTGTCTTTCTTTTCTTATGACAGGTATCATATCCTGTACATGTTCAGCACAGCAGAATGCCCTATAAACACTTCAATAGGCTTAAACACTAAAAAAAATGAAGAAGAAAAAATGTATAATATCAACAGCAGACCCACAATCCTTTTAAGAATAAGGGCAAGTGCTTCAAATAAATACTTCAAATAAAGTCTAACTTTCTTCCCTACCTGGGAAGCCTGTACAGTCTAAGACCTAACACTTCATCTCTCATTCCACTCCCTGAATTTTCTTGCAGTCTCACCCATCTCAGCTCTTCTGTTTTTCATGTGTGGTTTCTCTTCAGATCTTGACTTAAATGACACATCCACAAAAGGCACAGAAGCTGTTTCCAAACATCATAAATTGGCCCCCTCCAGTTATTGTTAATCATACCCCCAAAACGTTTTTTCTTCAAACAATTATCAACATTGATAACAATATCTTTAAAACGTTGTTTCTTTATACATTATGTGCTTACCTACAGAATTTGAGTTTCATAAGGACAGAGATCATGATTTTTTGTTTGCTCGGTTTGTTGTTCTTTTTCTGACAGTGCAGATCCAGCATTTGGTAGAATGCTGGCAAGTAGTTGTGGAGGCAGCAGTGATATAAAGAAGATGAGGGGAAGAAAAACTAAAATTATCTAAAAATAAAAATACCACTTTTAATAGCTAAATGGCTAGCATGTTATGAGCTCTGTATCAACCAGGTACTGTGCAAGGGTATTTGCATTATGTTATTTAGTTGAAAACAATTCTTGGAGGTAGATGTAACTAAGGTTGGTAGAAGAGAACTTGAGGCTTAGAGAGTCAAGATACTTATGTAGGGTCACAAAATTAATCAAGTTGGTGTCAGGATTCACACTTTGGCCAGCCTATCTTAGAACTCATGTGAAAGTGATTGTTAAATAAATGAATCGTTGTTAAATGGATGTGCGAATAAAGGAGGGAAGTAAAAAGGAAGGAAAGAAAGAAGGGAGGAAGGGAAAGTAAGAAGGAAAGAAAGACATGCTGCCCATAGTAATGGATAACTTGGCAAACCATGTTATGAAATGAATTCAGACCAAATACCTAATGACTTGAATAATTTATATGTTTAAACTGTGAGTTCAAGAATGAGAGATTGAAAGACTTGCCAAATCGTTTTCAGGTGAAAATAATACTCTTAACTAATACAGCTGTTTTCACTCCCAATGACTATTATAGATAAATTCTGAGAATCAACATTGTGAATGAGGCTGCACTGTGCCTAACAATAAAACAACTGCAGCTATTTCTCTAAGGCCCATGATAGGTGGAACATTTTTACCCAGCCTGGAGGAATGGAATGATAACAATAGCAATAATAATAATAATAATAATAATTAATAACCGAATTAGTGTTCCTACGTACCAGTTTTGTACTGAGCATCTTAATTCTGCATAATCTTCTTTAACTCTCATGCAGTCCTAGGAGGTGAGACAGAATCAAACAGCCATCAGGGTCAATGGAACTTGAACCCAGGATTTAGATGCAGATATTTGATTCCAGATCTGTAGATTTTGCAAAGTGCCTCTCCAGAGGTCTTATATCATCTCTGTATAAAGTTGAAACCATAGAAATAGGAAGAATTATGAGGAATGTTGAGGTTTATAGGTAGGCATTATGCATTAGTTACCTCAATGAATCTTCACAGTGTGGAATTTTTCTGTTTGACAAGTTTGGACAATGAAACTCATAGAAGCTGTGTAACTTGCTTAAGTTTATCCAGCTAGTAAATGGTAGGATCAGGATTTGATCACAGGCCCATTTGATCATGTCTCCAAAGCCCATGGTCATTTTTTTTAAGTCACAATATTTCATGGAGCTTATTGTATATTGTAGTCTTAAGAGAAAAGAGAAGCAGCAGGTGCTTGCTGTCATCCCCAGTTGAATTATTTTAATGGTAATTCTGGTATAACTCTGAAGACCTAAAATGGCTTGATTTACTTCTCTCAAAATGGTTAGTTTTTAAGACAGGTGATATCTGTGAGTGCAATGGCTGTTATGGAATGAAGGTGGTGCTCTGCTAGCAACATTCTGAAAAAGAGGTTCATCTCTAGTCGTGGTACACTGCATCTGAAAAGGTACAATACAGTTTCCCTTGGATTAGTTTATTCAAGAAAAGCATTATTTATTTAACAACTATATATTTTCACACTGATAATAAATGAAGTTTCATTTGTAATAAAACATTGGAAAGATAGGACTGTATAAGCTCAGATGTGTAAATTTGGAAAATTGGCTAAAATCTAAAAAAAATCTCTTCTGTAACTACAGTACTATGATATTATGGACTGAATATATTATGTCTAATCTAAATCATGGGTTATAATTTATTAAGCAGCTTATATTCACCATAAAGTAATTAAATAGTTTGACCTTGAGCTATCATTCTTTGAGGATATGTAATAATGTAAAAAATGACTTCCTGCTGCCAAAGATTAAAGGAAAAAAAAAAGAAAAATAATAATGTAAAAAAAAAAAAGAAAAAGAAAAGACAATGTCACACACTGACATATGTGGGTCCTGTTAAAGCAAACTGAACCGGACCTGAGAAGGACTCCATATTTCTATATTTGAGTCCCTGTGGATGAAGCATAAACCAGCTTAATAGGCAGAAAAAATTGAAAACATAACGATTAGCGTGCACCTGTAACAATAGCTGAGTGTTGACCTATCCCAATGACCATACTTCAACTGCTCATTGATTGCTGAGTGTTCAAACTAGGTTCAAATAACACAAATGCTGAGCTGTAATCAATCCAGTTGTTCTACACCTCACTTCAATTTATGTATGTCATTTCCTTTCTTTTTCATCTATAAATCTTCCACCTCATGGCTGCACTGGAGTCTCTGAGAATCTTCTGTGATTCTGGGGGCTGCCTGATTCATGCATCATTCATTGCTCACTTAAACTCCTTTAAATTTAATTCAGCTGAAGTTTTTATTTTATCAATCCTTCCCCAAAGATTTCTTTTTTTTTTAATTGCATTTTAGGTTTTGGGGTACATGTGCAGAACATGCAACATAGTTGCATAGGTACACACATGGCAGTGTGTTTTGCTGCCTTCCTCCCCTTCACCCACATTTGGCATTTCTCCCCATGCTATCCCTCTCCAGCTCCCCCCCACCGCTGTCCCTCCCCTATTCCCCCCAATAGATCCCAGTGTGTATTGCTCCCTTTCCTGTGTCCATGTGTTCTCATTGTTCATCACCCACCTATGAGTGAGAATATGCAGTATTTCATTTTCTGTTTTTGTGTCAGTTTGCTAAGAATGATGTTCTCCAGATTCATCCATGTCCCTACAAAGGACACGAACTCATCACTTCTGATTGCTGCATAATATTCCATGGTGTATATGTGCCACATTTTCCCAGTTCAGTCTATCATTGATGGGTATTTGGGTTGGTTCCAGGTCTTTGCTATTGTAAACAGTGCTGCAATGAACATTCATGAGCATGTGTCCTTATAGTAGACCGATTTATAGTCCTTTGGATATATACCCAGTAATGGGATTGCTGGGTCAAATGGAATTTCTATTTGTAGGTCCTTGAGGAATCAAGGACCACACTGTCTTCCACAATGGTTGAAGTAATTTACACTCCCACCAGCAGTGTAGAAATGTTCCTATTTCTCCACATCTTCTCTAGCATCTGTTGTCTCCAGATTTTTTAATGATCACCATTCTAACTGGCATGAGATGGTATCTAAATGTGGTTTTAATTTGCATCTCTCTAATAACCAGTGATGATGAGCATTTTTTCATATGTTTGTTGGCCTTATGTATGTCTTCTTTTGTAAAGTGTCTGTTCATATCCTTTGCCCATTTTTGAATGGACTTGTTTGTTTTTTTCTTGTAAATCTGTTTGAGTTCTTTGTAAATTCTGAATATCAGCCCTTTGTCAAATGGGTAAACTGCAAAGATTTTTTCCCATTCTGTTGGTTGCCGATTCACACTAGTGACTGTTTCTTTTGCCCTGCAGAAGCTGTGGAGTTTGATTAGGTCCCATTTGTCTATTTTGGCTTTTGTTGCCAATGCTTTTGGTGTTTTGTTCATGAAGTCCTTGCCTACTCCTATGTCCTGAATGGTTTTGCCTAGATTTTCTTCCAGGGTTTTTATAGTGACAGGTCTTATGTTTAAGTCTTTAATCCATCTGGAGTTAATTTTAGTGTAAGGTGCCAGGAAGGGGTCCAGTTTCTGCTTTCTGCACATGGCTAGCCAGTTTTCCCAACACCACTTATTAATCAGGGAATCCTTTCCCCATTGCTTGTTTTTGTCAGATTTATCCAAGATTGTATAGTTGTAGATATGTTGTGTTGCCTCCGATGCCTCTGTTCTGTTCCATTGGTGTATATCTCTGTTTTGGTATAAGCACCATGCTGTTTTGATTACTGTAGTCTTGTAGTATAGTTTGAAGTCTGGTAGTGTGATGCCTTCTGCTGTGTTCTTTTTGCTTAGAATCGACTTGGCTATGTGGGCTCTCTTTTGGTTCCATATGAAGTTCATGGTGGTTTTTTCCAGTTCTGTGAGGAAAGTCAATGGTAGCTTGATGGGGATAGCATTGAGTCTGTAAATTACTTTGGGCAGTATGGCCATTTTCACAATATTCATTCTTCCTAACCATGAACATGGAATGTTTCTTCATCTGTTTGTGTCCTCTCTTATTTCATTGAGCAGTGGTTTGTAGTTTTCCTTGAACAGGTCCCTTACATTCCTTGTACGTTGTATTCCTAGGTATTTTATTCTCTTTTTAGCAATTGTGAATGGCAGTTTGTTCTTGATTTGGCTCTCTTTAAGTCTGTTATTGGTGTATGGGAATGCTTGTGATTTTTGCACATTGATTTTATATCCTGAGACTTTGCTGGAGTTGCTTATCAGTTTCAGGAATTTTTGGGCTGAGACGATGGGGTCTTCTAGATATACTATCATGTCGTCTGCAAATAGAGACAATTTGGCTTCCTCCTTTCCTGTTTGAATACCCTTTATTTCTTTTCTTGACTGATTTCTCTGGCTAGAACTTCCAGTACTATATTGAATAGGAGTGGTGAGAGAGGGTATCCTTGTCTCGTGCCTGATTTCAAAGGGAATGCTTCCAGTTTTTGCCCATTCAGTATGATATTGGCTGTTGGTTTGTCATAAATAGATTTTATTATTTTGAGATAGATTCCATCAATACCGAATTTATTGAAGGTTTTTAGCATACAGTGTTGTTGAATTTTGTCAAAGGCCTTCTCTGCGTCAATTGAGATAGTCATGTGGTTTTTGTTTTTGGTTCTGTTTATGTGGTGAATTACATTTATAGACTTACGTATGTTTAACCAGCCTTGCATCCCCGCGATGAATCCTACTTGATCATGATGGATAAGCTTTTTATGTGCTGTTGCAATCGGCTTGCCAGTATTTTATTGAAGATTTTTGCATCTATGTTCATCATAGATATTGGCCTCAAGTTTTCTTTTCTTGTTAGAGCTCTGCCAGGTTTTCGTATCAGGATGATGTTGGTCTCATAAAATGATTTGGGAAGGATTCCCTCTTTTTGGATTATTTGGAATAGTTTCAGAAGGAATGGTACCAGCTCCTCTTTGTGTGTCTGGTAGAATTCGGCTGTGAACCCCTCTGGACCTGGGCTTTTTCTGTGTGGTAGGCTCATAATTGCTGCCTCAACTTCTTCACAATCAAAGAAGGAGGGTGGGGGAGTGGAAAACACAATAAAATATATACTATCTTTATTGTTGCATAATCTTAAGCTATCACCTGTAATAAACATGCTTAGAGTTGTGCCCTGATCTGAAGAGAGAGTCTACCAGTGATAGTCCATTTTCATGCTGCTGACAAAGACATACTTGAAACTGGGCAATTTACAAAAGAAGGAGGTTTATTGGACTTACAGTTCCACATGGTCTTGGATACCTCACAATCGTGGTCAAAGGCAAGAAAGAGCAAGTCATATTGTATGTGGATGACAGCAGGTAAAGAGAGCTTGTGCAGGGAAACTTCTATTTTTAAAACTATCAGATCTCATGAGACTTACTATCTTGAGAACAGCACATGAAATACTGGCCACAAAAGTCAGTCACCTCCCACTGGGCTCCTCCTATGACGCATGAAACTTGTCGGAATTACAATTCCAGATGAGATTTGACTGGAGACACAGAGCCAAACCATATCATTCCACTCCTCCTAAATCTCATGTCTTCACATTTCCAAACCAATCATGCCTACAGTCTTCCAAATTCTTTTTTTTTTTTTTTTTTTTTTTTTGACATGGAGTTTCGCTGTTGTTACCCAGACTGGAGGGCAATGGCACGATCTCAGCTCACTGCAACCTCCGCCTTCTGAGTTCAAGCAATTCTCCTGCCTCGGCCTCCCAAGTAGCTGGTACTACAGGCTGGCACCACCATGCCCAGCTAATTTTTGTATTTTTAGTAGAGACGGGGTTTCACCTTGTTGACCAGGATGGTCTCAATCTCTTGACTTCATGATCCACCCGCCTCGGCCTCCCAAAGTGCTGGGATTATAGGCGTGAGCCACCGTGCCCAGCCCCAACTTCTTAACTCATTTCACCATTAACTCTAAAGTCGACAGTCCAACATCTGAAACAAGGCAAGTTCGTTCAACCTATGACCTATGATCCTGTAAAATCAAAAGCAAGTTAGTTACTTCCTAGAAACAATGGGGGTACTGAATTGGGTAAATACAGCCTTTCCAAATGGAGAAATTGAACAAAACAAAGGGGCTACAGGACCCATGCAAGTCCAAAATCTAGAATGACAGTCAAATCCTAAAGCTTTTTGATCTTCTTTGACTATATTTCTTGCATCTGGGTCACACTGATACAAGAGGCAGGTTCCATAGTCTCAGCCAGCTCTACCCCGTGGCTCTGCAGGGTACAGCCTCCCTCCCAGCTACTTTCACAGGCTGCTGTTGAGTGTCTGTGACTTTTCCAGGTGTAAAATGCAAGCTGTTGGTGGATTTACCATTCTGGGGTCTGGAGGACAATGGCCTTCTTCTCACAGCTCCACCAGGGTATACCCCAGTAGGGCTTGTGTGTGGGAGCTCTGACCCCACATTTCCCTTCTGCA